ATAATAAAAAATTGAACTTCTGAAGAGAGATTTACTGATTGTCAAGAAGCTACACCAATCTAAGGGTACATTTCATTTCACACAATGTTCTTATTGAAACACTAATTCGTGCAAAACAGATACATTATCCAAATATTGACTTTTTATCAACTTCAACCATAGAATGCAAGTGGCTGTCGATGATGCGAGTCTGTATAGAATTATTTATCTAAACTTTTATATGTGAAAATTATATTTGAAATATTCTCAGCGATTGAAATTTAACTAATTCCAACGTTTCGTCCAGCTAACTTGTCTGGACTTCTTCAGGGTAATAATCAAAATCAAAATTATTAAATATAATTTTCACATATAATGACTTCTCTATACTCGGCGCTCAATTACTGTCAAACTATTCGTTCTAATCTTGACGAATATTCGTATAAACTTTTATAGTTCTTAGTCTTGACTATAACAGTTTCATTTCCATTGAACCAAATGTAAAGCGTTCTCAAATCATTTAGAAGTGTGAATAAACGATGATTCCACATTCAAAGTGCGAATAAAAGATATTTACCTTTTATCTTGATGAATATTTCTCTCTTATATTATTGTGACCTGCTCATAATCTATTCTAACAGTATAGTTATCTCTTTAAAGAATTTTACTCACGTACAAAACTAACACAAAAATTATTATGCATTTGACCTTATAGTCACTACAATGAACAATAATTTACCGTGAATCAATACTAATGTGTATACAATATGTGGTTTAATCATGAATTTTTGTACTCAAGTGTAATAAAAGAAGTCTGTTATAAATTCTAATACTGTACATTAAAACATAGAGAGATAGCACAGTAAAAATAGAGTTCTCAACTATTAATCACTAGGTTGCAACTCTAATCTACCTATTTCAATTTTGGAAACTTGATAATCTCCATAGAGTTTGCACTTAAAGTATAGTCACAAAGCCCGACACACGATTTTGTATTGATTATATGAGCAACATCCAAATATGTAACAGAAAGAAAACTATACTAATAGTAGTAGAAATTAACTAGTTAATGACTAAAGAAACATAACAGAAATTTCAATAGTTGAAATTATGAGTCAATTGAAGCTAGATCACCATGGAAAACCTGGAAGCACTAAAAATCTCCACAAAACCCCTTCTGATAATAAGCATCTGCTCACTAGTGACTGACTTCAAGAGGCGTTTCCTGGAGTACTAGTGAGAAGCCGTGACTAGTGGAGTTCAACCAGGTCTGTTGTGAGATATCAGCTCACTGAAGACAATGGTGTACGGTAACGAAACTTCGTGGATTGGTTGAAGTTAGACATTAACACCATTGGATGCCGGCTCAGTGGTCTAATTGTTAAGCGCTCGCGCGCGAGACTGACAGGTTCTGGGTTCGAATCTGGCAAGGGGCGGGATCGTGGATGCGCACTGCTGAGGAGTCCTATGCTAGGACGAAACAGCCGTCCAGTGCTTCCAGGTTCTCCATGGTGGTCCAGCTTCAATTGACTCATGATTTCAACTATTGAAATTACTAAAAATCTCCACAAAACCCCTTTTGGACATAACAGAAAAATTTGCATCCGTGTTACAGATTGACTAAAATCTAAGTCATCGCTACTGATTTTCTTTAGAAAACAATATCAAATCTTCAAGTTAGTACGTTGACTACTTTTTATAGTCATTAGGAAGTTCACATTGCATGAACACTCATTTATATATTATTGGTCAATCACATGCATTTGTCGTTAACACAGTTATGATTAGTGCAAAGTTGTCTTCTCATTTAGTCACTTTTGATTGGCCCACTGTGTTAACGGTACTATAGTGTTTATGAAAGAAGCCTATAGTATATTACCGATATATATATTAGTACAGATTGGGTGGAAATGGATAAATTAGCGTAATCCGCTTTGACCCTGACCCATTAGTCAGAATTCTATTTCACTTTCTTTTTCAGTAAACTTATTAATAAAGTGTTTGTAGGACATGGTGAGGTTATTTAGTTATATTCCTACAAACTTACGATCAGAAAACTGATAATATGCTCTAAACAATCAATAAACTTAAATATTATTCAACTAGTTTCATCACTTTACTTTTGATTCAGAAGAACTCTCTATTGATTGGTTGCAAACTGGCTTCAAATTTATGCAGTTATTTTGAGAACCATTCAAACTAGTCTGTATGTACTATACTCTTTCACATTTCCTATCTAGAAATGTATAGATAAGTTTAAAATAACTGTGGTAGAATTAAGATATAGGGCGAGCTGATCAGGATCGACAACGTGACTTTTAAGGTTTTACGTTGAATTCAAATGTCACGTATGGAAGGCAGTAAAAATACCTTTTAATGACAAAAAAATTCCTAGCCACCATAGGATAAAAAATGATAGTGTTGAATACATCAAATGCCCAACTATATCTCTCTAAATTGTCTATAACGGCCAAATCAACACTATCTCTACATCCGGTTGCGCATCAGTGCTTGAAGTCACTAACTTCTAGTCTGAGCCATGTTGGTAGATGCAGACTACTTGGTTGGGATCAGCGTGACTATCGTAACCAATGGTTGGAGACATGGCTCAGAATCGATCACAATGGCGTAGGTGTACACACTCTTTGTCTTCCCTTAACCTATGAAATTCAAATCGCTTCATATCTTTCTTTCTACGAACTAATTCTTTCTTCCTGTACTCTATCCTTATATGCAATCTTTCTTTTATATATTACAACAACTGAATTAACTACTTCTATGAATCCGGTGTTCATCCTGCTTTGCTAATGAGATATAGCAACTTGAACTGATGCATATATGCTGACTGACTCTTAATCATGAAACAAACCTTAACTTAGTAGCATTACATTTTATGAACGAACTAATCAAACAGGATCTCACAGATTTTTGAACGAAATCCATTTAGCCGACTCCTCACAGAACATTTCTTTTATTGTAGCTAATAATGTTAATTTGTAATGAAGATCTTAACACCTAAACAGTTAATTGTAATCTTCAGTCAGTCAGCTACAACATAAGACCAGGCACATATATGCATCGGTCCAAGTTGCCATATCTCATTAACACAACATCATGAACATCAAACTCATAAAAGTAGTTAATTCAGAGGTGGTAATATATAAAAGAAAGATTGCAATAATTGTAATCTTAACTAGGACCAAATATGAGAACTCTTAAGATATTCAACATAAAGGATAATGTATATTCCATTTATTTGCAAAGAGATTTATGATGTGCAATCTGTTTAGATTTTTATAATATTGTTTTCTTTCCAATAAAACAAAGAGTGATTGTTTGTTGTTTTTTGTTTGTTTTTGATTGACTAAAGAAACTATGTACTACTCTTATCACCGACTTATGCATTACATCATAGAGGAATACTGGGCATTCATCAATACAACACATAATCTGTGTGTAATGGGAACCAAAAACAAACAAACAAACAAACTACATATATAGAAAATTGTATAAAAACAAATTGATGCATTTCATATAAATAGTAGTATAGAAAACAAAAGGCACTAAAGATATACATTGGCAGAGATTACAATAATATTAGTAAAGATAGAGAGCAAGAGAGAATAGAAACTAATATTAATCATTGACAAACTATATAGTCTAGCCTTGTTATAGATAAAAACAAATCAGCATATATCTAGATAGATAGATGGATGGATAGAAAGACAAAATAGTTTTCATATAGAGAAAACAAAAGTAACAAGAAAATCACATACACAGTAGAAGTCATGGTTATTTTGTTGAGAACAAAAAAAAAACACACAACAAAGAATGAAGATTATACAGAAATAGTACAATTGGCAAGATTCATTTACTGCAATGTCGTTATTATCACCGGATGACCACCAATGATAAGTGTGTATAGATGGTTGTTTTTCAGGCACTATTTTATTTGTTGTATATGTGAAGATTCATCTATTGATACAGTTAATTGCCTTGGCAAATAATGCTAAAATAGGTGTGTGTGTGTGTGTATGGAATGAAACTTCTAACTGTTATACTCAATTGAGTAATTGAAAATCAATCCCTGTTTAGCTATTAGTCAACGTAATGTTTAACAAAATGGGATTACAAAGAAAAACAAAATAGTTGTAATCATTTCTCAATATATATATATATCCTTGTTATAGGCAGGAATGATGAACAATCAGAGGAATGTATTTCTTATCAATAGAAAGAAAACGATGGTGGTATACAGTGTGAAACGAGCAAATGAATTGAAGTTATCAAATAATAATCCGAGAAGAAAAAAACGAATATAACAGGTATGTTGTGCTTTACGTTTCACTTTTTTTTTGTCCTCCAGTTTTTTTTAATCAACTTTCACATACTGCTTACTCAAGATATTCGTTCCATATCAATGATAGAATGAACTATGACAATGATCAATGAAGAGAATGAAACAACAACAATAAAAAAATATCACCAACTGGAAGGAATGTACCAAAAAAAGATTTTTTTTCTTCAAAAAAAGAGTAATGAACAAGCAAGCAAGTGCGCACAGGGGAGAGAGAGAACACCCCCCCTCCCGGATGGAATACCAATTAAAATCAGTAAAACATTCAAAGTAATCAAAGAGAAAAAAATAGGAAGTGGGGGTGGGGAAGATAGCAACAAAAATATAGACACATATATTATATTATTAGAAAATAACATGGAAAAATTACATAATAGTTGTATATATATAAAATAAAGTATTCATGATTATGATTATTTCGAAATATCGTTGTAATTATTCTACGGTATTCAATTAATTAATTAATTAATTAATGAACATCTATCTATCATTGATATTATAAACAATTAAGAAAATTTCTATATTTAAAAAAAATATAATAAAATATCAAAGTGAATAGAGTAAAGAATAATAAAAGAAATTAACGTTGTGATAGAATGGTTTTTTTTACTTTTTCTTCTCCTATAATCAATAAATCGATCGATCGATTGATTGATTGAAAATATTAACCTGTACGCATTGTTCGACCCCTGGGAGAGAGAGAGGGAGAAAGAAAGAAATTGAATGTGAGTTCATCACTAGAAATTATATATATATATATATATATATATATATATATATATATATATATATATATATATATATATATATATATATATATATATATATCATATGGTATTGTTTGTTTGAATGTTCCGATTGATGTTTAGGACTGCAATTGATCAGTCTCTTATTGGCATATATGCATATTGTCTCATTATTGCTTGTGAATTAAGGCTATATCAAGGCAATATGCACACTATGCACATATACCAATAAGAGACTGATCAATGGGTAGATTTAAACGCACAATACAAAAATGAACTATATTATTCTTATTATGTAATAAGATAGTATCGAGAAATAAACATTCATAGTATATATATCAATGAAGGTTTGAGTTTTCCCTTTATTAGTCAGTCTTTATTGATAATATACGCACATTCTGAGCGGACTGCCTAGATATTGACATTTATGCATAAGTTGAATATTGGTTGATAGTGAAATTCAACGCTCATGGTTCATCCTATATAGAACACGTCAGATGAGTGTATTTGCATTTCGGTGGTGATATCTACACTGGACCTACTTGTTTTTATTTCAAAAAAGAGTAAAAACGAACTCTTACAAATGAAATTCTTACCTGTTATATAAAACAATGACTACTAACTGGACTTAATAGTTCAATGGATAGTGCATTAACACTAGAAGTAAGACGTACTAGGCTCGAGTTCCGAAATGTACACAAAAACTTGGATATGGCATGTATATCCAGCTGACAAGTCTCAACTAGATCTAAACGCGAGTTCTGAACTCCAATGTTAACCACTATCCAAATTTAAGAAAAATATACATATACAAGGAAAAATATGATAACTATTCTATCCTTCATTCACCATCACAACTAACTAACCCTAGAAATAGGATGTTCAGAATGCTTAGATTAGGCATAGAAATATATTTTGTTGAACTCATTAACCATATCACATCAGAACAATTAAATCAAGAATTATCTTAATGATTATTATGCATACCACTTCAGTGTTAATCAATAAACACTAATAATAGTAATAATGGTAATAATAACAATAATCATAATAATTGGTTGCTTAATTGATAAATACACGCATAAATGGTGAATTCCTTCAGTATTAAACAGTCAAATAAAGTACATTTCAAAGTTTTCTAGCATTTAACTACTAACCAGCTATTCCAATATTTTATGCTTAAATTTAAATCAAAATGAAACTTAGCACAAAAAATGAAGTTACTCAGTGTTGTGACGTGAGGCTGCAGATTAGAGTGAAGCGTTTTATCGATCGCTTCAGTGACACGGAAAACACGTACGGACGACCTAGAGTCTCGATTGGTCCCGCTTCCCTGTCTAGCCCAGTCAGTTGAGTCCAGAACACAAGTCTCAGCCTCTGAGATATGAATCATTATATTTCAAACATACTTTGTTTATATACCAACCAACCAGACCACATCGTACCATAAAATAGAAAACAACATTTTTACAATATTTAACAAGTGGAATAAATACTGACCAATAGGGAGTGTACATTTAAAGTCCAAGGCCACCATTAGACTTAAAATGATAATTATTGGTACATTCTTCTGCACATCCTAACACTCAGGTGATGGGAAGTAGGCTGCAACAAAAAACCTGGTTTTGTACTAGTTCAAACTTATCACACTAAAACGTGTCTACACGTTTGAGAGATCTGATGCTTTCTATGGGGTCCGGACTTTTACCACCCAGTTTCATAATCTAGAGAGTTATAACTAAGCTATTCCGGTTGTGACTGACCTCCTTTAGGACTAATGTATTTACAATCTATTGATCACTCTGAGTATTGACAAACCTAACACTTGTTTACTATTTTAGTGCTGCTCAAATCCTATAGATCAAGTACTCAGGAATGATCTTGATGTTGAATAGTGTGAAAAACTATTAAAAAGATATGAAATATTGCTAGATAACTGTTTTGTTTTTAAATTACACACAATTAAACAATATGTGAAACCTAGATGAGAGCAAATAATGCAAAATCTTTTATGTTTTTATTCAAAGAATACAAAAACCGACCAGTCACTTGGTCACAATTGAACGTGATTTCATTCAATTCATTATGTAAACACACGTAAACAATACATAGTCTAGCACAAATATATAAATATTGAAGCTTAAGAAGTCACCACATCACATCAACACAGAAAGAGATGAATCAGAAAAAGGAAGACTATGAAAAAAGCTGAAAACTAATATCAGTACAGTGATGATGGATCCATATTGCACAAAACCTTCAAATATTGAGTAAGGGTTACTTCAGAACTCCATAGAACCAAGAAACTTGAACATTTACTTACACCGTATTCGCACTAACGGTCAATTGCTTCATGGTCCAATCCTATGTCTGAGCCTAGTGGCCATGCTAAGCCTTTAGTCCTGACTCTCCCTACCTCCTTGTCTTATATCCTAAGAAGTATAGACAACTGAGTTATAAATGATTAAGTATATAGAATTTCTCAAACTACTCAGTAAATAAAGTAACTATGTGTGACGTAACTTATTTGTTTGCCAAATATAAGTGTTTATGTAGTTGATATTAAGCTACGATGCTTGTACAAGGGCTATTTGACATTAGAATTGACTATCAAAATCAAATGAGGTGAAAATGAGTTCGAAGCTTTGAACACCTATTGGCGTTTAAAGTCAAATACTTCAACCATAACTACACCACTGAGCTACTACTAATCGATGAAGAGTCACAACCTCATTCGTAGAGACATCTTTATTAGTATTTTAGGGACCTAACAAAAACAAAAAAAATTGATCTAGCACTTAAACAAACACATAGACACAAACAAAGACAAAAAACATAATAACATACATATTATCACTTTGTATACCACCAATTTTGTTCACTGATGGTGAAATAGGCGTGGGTTCACCAGAAGCAGTCGTAATATTGGTATTAATCACAGTATTTGTTGGATGTTCAATATGGGCACGGTTGAGTACTTTCAAGAATTCCACTGTTTTAGCACGCATACGCATTTGCATATAAGCTTTGGAACATTTAATATGGTAGTGTAAATAGTTTCTTAGTGTTTGTATTAAATCGATGGTAGAATTACGCGCAGATTCAGTGGATAAATGACGCGGAAAAAGCACTAGGGTTTAGAAATACATATATATAACAGTAAAAGCACAACTAATGACTATTATCAATATCAAAAATATAGAGAAGAATCATAAAATAGATGCTTCCCCAAATCATGTATACCAGTAAGTATATTACAACAGGCGGTACCTTAGTAATTTACAAACACAAGCTTTCAAAGTTGAGTCATTCACCGATTTTATGACAATCTAAAAAGCTGAATAGTATTTGTAGCCCTAAAAGCTCCAATGTATAAACCTATACTTGACTAATGAAAATGATGCAAACGGCAAGGAATGCACCTATCGGTAAATAATATTTTAAAAAGTCACATGATAAGTATGCCTTTTCATTTTTAAGACTACATAAAAATATTATTGAAACCATGAAACGATCTAAGTCAGACAATCATTGAAAACTTGGGGTCACTTTACGGCCATTTCGTCCTAGTATACGAGACTTGAGCAGTGCGTATCCAAAACCTCAAAACTGGGAATCGAACCCGGGACTTGCTGTATTGCACAAGAACACCTCACCTCTAGACCACTAAGCACAAGGATTCAATGACATAAGTCCAAATTCAATCGATTGACGATGTCGCGCGACCGTCTTTCATCGTCTTCATTAGCTACCTTCCTTACACCCGATACGGTTGAACTCCACTGGAGTCAGTAGTAAGCAAATGATAACTTTCAGTATGAGGTTTTGGAGAATGTTCAATCTTACTGAACTCAGAAACAGATACAAAGAGGAGTCCTACACTAGAACGGAACAGTCGTCCAGTACTTCCAAATTCTCAATGGTTGTATAGCTTAGGTCGGTTCGTGATTTCATTAAAATTCAACAATCTCCACAACTATATACTGACAATATGTACTTTTTAATTTTAAAAACGAACTCAATATTTTTACTGACTGTTGAGAGCCCTCAAAAACTCCTTAAAAGCTGGAAAAAGGCTGAAAACATTTCGTCCAATTAGCGTCTAACAAACATTTCTTAAAGTTCTTGATTGATTAATAGCTGTCTTTGTTACCAAATCTAGAATGTCTCCTGAAGCTTTTAGACTATCACGCCCGACCAAAACCTAAATCAGCCTTCGGTGTAAAACTTTTTCATGATTCCTGGCATTTAGTCTATAGTTCGGATTTCGAATATAAGAGATACTACGGAATTGGTGAATGGTTAATAAGTCAGTATCAAGTCTTTAAGTGTTAGAAGTATCATTAACATAAATACCGTTTATATGATGTTTCATTTTTTTGTAAAACATGAGCTACTAAATGTTCATTCTAGGGTGTACACACCTTCATAGTACTAGTGATTTTTGCGGTAGACTATCTGTAACTCATAGGTATTCATACCAAGGTTGAACTTGATAGTTTCAAATAAATTGATCATTGGGTATGAAGTTATTGATAAATATATTTCTGTTATATCACAATGAGTAGAAAAATTATATATCTGACGTTTTGTGACTTAATGTAAACCACTTCATCAGAGTAAATAAATAACCAACATTCAGAGAACTATACTGGGAAGAAAAAGGGGTGTCCAGTGCTTCCAGGTTTTCAATAGTGGTGTCTAACTTAGATCAGTTCGTGATTTCATTTGGGATTCAATAATCGTCACAACCCCATATTGAAAATACAATTCTCATGCATATAAATGTGTATTGAAAGACAGAAAATGTACTATTCACTAGTTTTCAACCAGAATCAATTTCAATTTCTATGAAATGATAATAATATTTATAGTGAATATTACCTTGAAAAAAAATACTTACACACTATGAATTGTTACTAAGTTATTGATTTGTAATTAATTCATTTACTAATTATGCACACATAAACAAGATAATACACGTTCAGTATGTACAAATTGTAAAAGGTATAGTTTGATGGTGAACCACTACTACTACTACTACTACTACTACTACTACTACTACTAATTATTATTATTATTATTATTATTATTATTATTATTATTATTATTATTATTACTAGTACTATTACTACCATCATCATCATCATCATCATCATAAAATTTCATTCAGTTAGTTATAAGAAACGTAGAACCTGATACATAATTACACTGGTTCAAGTTTACGCACCATATTAGCACACAAAGAGATAAAATCATTTCAAGACAAATGGATGTAGTAGAAGTAGTAACAGTATTATTGATAGTAGAAAATATTAGGTATAGACAGTTTGACTCGAGATGAAACAATGAATTTTAGGAATAAAAGTTGTAAGGTTGTTTTTAAACTTATGATCAAAGAGAAGAGTGAATGTATCATTGAACTGTTGTGAATGAGTCTGAACTATGTCACTTAACCTCTTTAACTATTGGTTACTATAATCCCGAAGACACTAACCAGGTACTTTGCAACTAATAACATGCCTTAGTCTAACAGCCAATAATATCGTGAACCGATAACATGTCTCGGTTTGTTAGCCCTAAGCTTTTCTCACAGCCTACTCCTTCCTATACCAGTCAACATAGGATTACAACTAGACTATGAACGTAGAAGACAAATAACCTGACCGACTTACCAAAAGTAATGTACGCAACTGAGTCACTGATAACTGCATCAGTTCCCTGTAATTCTTTTGGTGGAACGCGATGAGAATACAATACTTGAGGTGCTCGATCAAGACGTCTTCTTACCTCAGTGAACTCCTGTGATGTACATATTTGAATATAAAAATCCAAACAGTTTAAAAAGCATCTCAATACATAATTCATAAACTGAAGTCAAAAAAGGTCATCTAAGTTTAATTATAAATAGATTGTTACTAGAAATCACCGCCATTTTAATGTTATGTATTGAACCTATTGTATTTCTGGTCAGTAGCTTCAGAAATGGGTCATGGTACTAGGTACAGATGTATTATTGGTCAGAATTTGGAAGACTATCCTCATTTATTTATCCTTAAAGACATAATTAGGTAATTAAAATAACACACCGTGTCACTAAATAAAAATAAAGAGAATTCGCAAAGAAAAATTTTTTTCGACGAAAACGATATGTCCAACCTTCCTTTGCCCTAATTCCCTTCTGCAGTATGTCTTAGTTGCTTTTCAAAAAATGAGTGTTTTGTAATTTTAAACCATAATTAGTTATTATTATCCTTTTCTGTCTTCCTATAGGCATATATTTAAGCATGCCTGTTATCGCTTGTGGAGGAGTATAGGTCTCCCACCATCACTCTCCATTGAACTATGTTCTGTGCAATTCTTTTCAGATGCTATTCATTTTTTTATGTCTGCTTCCAATTTTCGATGCAGTGTGTTCCTTGGTCTTCCTCTTTTCCTTTTCCTTCAGGATTCCAAGTTAGCGCTTGCCTCATGAGGCAGTTTGGTGATTTCTGTAATGTATATCCTATCTACCTCCAGCGTCTTAATTTCCTCTTCAGCTGAAAACCTGTTTGTTCTACCCCACAGTAGGCTGTTGCTGATGGTGTATCCGGTCAACAGACATTGAGTACCTTTCGTAGATAATTGTTCATAGACACATATTTCACATACAATTATAAATACGAATATATGACTTAAGTAAATAATTTCGTTGAAAACTTTCTTCGCTGAAGTCTATTTATATAGCTAAATGACATAGCTAACACTAATAGCAATGATTCGGTTATATTTAATCTCTATCTTTCTCTGAATTCGCAGCTTAGTATAAATTACCTCATACTTTTGATTGTCTAGTCTCATGTCACATTTAAACTACGGTTTTTATGCTTCACTTTTCAATGCAGTTGAGATAGTATTTACCTGAATACACTAATCTAGTAAATTCCTTTATTCCATAAGTCTAGAACAATACTTACCGACTAGATTCCATCTACCAAATACTATTACCACTAAATATAACCAATATTACTAAGAATAAATTTGTTGATGAAATTTTATTTTTAAAAGCTACTACTCCCCAACATTTTAGTACAAAGTAAAACTAATGAACTGAGAAGAAAAAAGTAAATACCAAACAGATTTACACATACTTGCATAAAAACTTTTCCAATTAACAAATCGTCTGGATCTTTAAATGTTGTACTAAAGATAACTGTAACTCGATCAGCTAATGCTTGTACATACCTATTGGGAAAAAGATGAACAATAAATAAATAAATAAATAAATAAAACATGTAACTTTAGTGTTACCTGGAAAAATAGGGGTGTCTGGGTTGGTGAATGAAAAGACTAAGATTATAACCAGTACGTTACATGTTTGAACGGTGAGATTCACCCTCTTTTTTACTTTGGAAAGCTGTCCAGTATCACTAGCCCTCATACGTCCAAGCACAAGTATAACAACTTACACAAGAGTACGGAGTGTCAGGTCAACGAATTTAAGCTAAACACAATTATAACTAAATTTTTTACTGCAAAACAATAAAAGGCTTTGATTATCATAAGCAATTAAGAAAAACACTAGACATACTACCCACTCCCTTAGTTAACAAAAACAAACACATTCAACAGAATAACTTACATTGTCTCATCGTCTCTATAATGTATCACCGCCCTCTTAGAACCCGAATCCACGTTAGATTTAATTTGATATTCGAAAAACTTCTCAAAAACAGCTGCCATACAATTTCTTTTTAAAAGACCACATTTATGAGCTAACTGATTATGATCTGGAGGTAGTTTTTCCAAATCTATGCATAAGGTTACACTCTGATTGGGCTCTGCTGAAGAGAGAAAATCACCATACTCACGAGCCAATACCTTGAGAAAAAACGGTTAAGATTGAAACAAAGCATACCATTACTTGTTATAAGACCGATAAATGCTATGCTGAAAATATATAACCTACAAAGGGCTATAATAAATGATGACGATGACGACAGAGGTTCATAAAATGACTAGAAAATACCTCTTATGTATTAAGAATCACAAGTGTATTTGGTGCCTCCTTGTACCAATATCTATGTGTTAAAATAATAATAATAATAATAATAATAATAATAATAATAATAATAATAAAAAAAAAAGAAACAGAGAGGTGTAAACAGTGATCTGAAGTGCTATGTGTCAGTCAGTCAGTAACAACGTCGAACTTCGTATGTACGTACATCATTTCGAGTTGACACACCACATTAGCACAGAGATGCAGTGGATGATTCAAATCCCGTAGTGGTAGAGGTAGTAAGAGTATAAGCAGTAATCGGAAACATTAAAGTTTGAAGATGTTATTCAAGGAGTATAATCCAGTGAAATAAATTTGAAAAGAAACAAGGAAAATTCAAGAGGACATAAAGAGTGGATGTACCTGCGCCATTGCAAACGATTTTGAGCCATGTCATTCAGGGTCTCTAACCATCGGTTGCTACCATCTCGTGGTCCCCAACCAGGTAGTCTACACCTACCAACATGACTCAGTCCACTTGTCAGTGACTTCATAGACTTGTTCCATGTTTTGGTCTGGCCGCTACTAGCTTTCTTCCAACCTACTCCTATACCACTAAACATAGCACGTCGAGGCAGTCAGTTTTTAGGCATACGTAACACATGTTCCAGCCATCTCAACTGATGAAGTTTCACTACGTCATCAATCGATTTGCCATCCTTACCTAGTACCCGTTTCCTAACAACTGCGTTACTTACTCGATAGTCCCAGGATATACGAGCAATATTTCGAAGAAACCTATGATCAAATACTAGTAACCTACGGATATCCTCTACTCTTTCCGGCTATGTTTCACTGCCATAAAGTAGGACGGAACGAACTGCTGCGCAGTAAACACGTCCTTTGGTTGATAGACGGATATCTCGCCTACGCCATAAATGACGCAAGTTGGTAAAAGCTAGTCGAGCCTTCTGTATCCGTGCTGAGATTTCGTCACAAACCAGACCACAAGGGCTGATGAGACTTCCAAGATAAGTGAAGCGGTCGACACACTCAACTACTTCACTCCCTATCACTAGTTCGGGTGTCGATGTAACCCAATCCTGAAGCAACATTTTGCATTTCGAGGGAGAGAATCGCATGCCGAACATGCTTGCATTGTTGCTTAGAGTGGTCAGAAGACTCTGCATTTTGTCAGCGTCTTCACCAAATAAAACTATGTTATCAGCATATTCTAAGTCAACAAGTGAACCTCCTGGTAGGAGTTCAACCCCTGGAAATTTAGACGAGGAAAGTGTTATCTCTAAAAGTACGTCGAAGACAAAGTTGAACAAGAATGGAGAGAGTGGGCAGCTCTGACGAACACCACTTGAGGTAATCAATTCTGATGACAGTTCGCCATAAGCTGGACCGAAGCTGCTACCTTGACGCGGTGGTCGGGCTTGCCTATCGTGATGACCCAACCGAGCTATATTGGCTGGAACATATGTTCCTGCAGGTTCTACCATGCCAGGCAGGTCGATTGGCGAACGGTAAGACTAAAAGCAGCAACTCAAGGTCTGAGGGCGAAGTCGTACTGCTGACTGTACAGAGGTGTGACAGCAGTAAGGTGTTTCCCTCAGACAACCAGCATGACAGCGATGCTGCCTTCCCACAAGGAGGGGTGGGGTTAGAAAAGGTCGACCCTAAAAATGTCACACCTCACCTTACCTCACGGATTTCCGTCTCCGGTGGTAAGGCCCATTGAAGAACGGAGCTAACACATTAAAAACCTTCCACGAAAAGGCCGTGCGCGACCGGCCTCAAGCAGTTGTCCCTTGGGCTCTGCGGTCACGCTCCCAGGTCTTTAAGACTAACAATAATCCAATTTCCTTTTCGGGTTCCTCAAGAAATACCCTTCCACGGCGTGGGCAGCCGGGAAGTGATACCAGCCCTCATACCCGTAACGGCACACGAGACCAAGTTGGTCACATTCAAATCCTTCCTACACCTCCTAATACCTCTCTTATCTCCATGACTACCCTCCTCACGTCTCTTTATCACCTTGCACCGCTAGGGCAAATGATTCGAGTACGTGGAACGCTATTCCTGGTCTCCTGAAACCACGCTCTAAACTACACGTAGGAGCTTTTAACGTCCGAACACTGTGCCAAATAGGACAGCAGGCTTCCTTAGCTAAGACTTTAGAATCCCGCGCCATCGATGTGTGCTGCGTCTCTGAAACGCGCATACAGGATCCAAGTAGCGTCATTCACTTGACCTCACCATGCCAAAATAAAGAACCGACTCGATTTACGCTTCGTGTATCTGGAAGCCCTGATTCTGCTTCCCGTGGCCTCGCCGGCGTAGGTATAGCATTGAGTCCTAGGGCAGAACTAGCTCTCTTAAAGTGGATCCCAGTAGACAGTCGTTTGTGCGCTGTCCGACTAAACGGGACAATAAGGATCTGAAAAGATAGCAACACTCGTCGTTGCCTCTTCGTCGTCTCTGCCTATTCTCCCACTGACTGCAGTGCAGATGTAAAAGATGAGTTTTACAGAAAGCTCTCCGACCTTCTCCGAAAAGCTAGGCGCTCGGATGTAGTAATAATGGCCGGTAACTTTAATGCTCAAGTAGGTAAACTAAGCGATAGAGAAAGACACCTAGGTGGATCTTATAGCATCGTGGCTCAAAGAACAGATAATGGCGACCGTCTGTTGCAGCTATGCTCAGATAACCGCCTCTTTCTTGCCAATACTAAATTTAGGCATAAAGAAAAAACATCTTTCAACATGTAGACCCCCTAATTCGTCCCAACGTTGGACCCAAATAGATCACATCGCTATCAGCCACCGATGGAGGGGCTCGATAGAAGACTGTCGCTCATTCTGGAGCACATGCTTAGATTCAGATTATGCTCTAGTACGAGCGCGTATCTGTCTGCGTCTTACTGGACGTAGGAAAGACGCTGCAAGGAAGCCTCTTAGGGCCCTAATTAATTATTGTCAAGCTAAGAGTATATTCCAGGAAAAACTAGGAAAACAGTTAGGCAGCCATGTATGTGATGCCCTTGTGGTGGTCGGTATTCTATATAATCTTTAAACTTCGTATACAGCTCGTCTTGATAACCGTTCTATATAACGTCCCAACGGTTTATTAATCAGAAGGCAAATACGAAGTGTTGATTACGTTTATTGCGAGACCACACACATGTGTCCAAATGTACAGATGCGTTAAACAAGCATAGAAGAGTTGTGCCGGAAGGCGAGCAAGCGAACGAGAGCCAGAGCAAGAGCGTGACGAGACCGTGCGAGCGAGTGAGCGATTGTGTGTTCAATATGAATAACATGGACATATATATATACCATGTGAAATGAATGAGTAATCGAACCAAATAATCAGTTAGTAGTAAGACTAGCAGAGTGAATAAATGCGTAGGCCGTAAGCAATATTCAAGCATACGTATTTCATACAAGCACAAAATAATAAGAGTACAATAAGTTGTTATAGTGCGGATGACTTTGTCCGCTAAATAAGTTAACAAAAGGGCTTAACCGAATTAAATGAGAATAAACCCAATTGCACGTGAGTCGCTATACCCTCCTCGAGGCAGCATGGAATGATATTCGAAAAGCTGTGGAAACAGCAATGATATCTGCTAGTAAGGTAAACCAGAATGTTAGGGAGCAACACTGGATCTCAGCAGCATCTATCGCACTGATAAATGCTCGGAAACTCATTCCACCTGGCTCTGAACATAATGAAGAGCGGAGTCAGCTTAAGCGCAAGCTGACAAGAAGTCTACGCAATGATCGTGAACAGTGGTGGGTAGCGAAAGCAAGAGAGATGGAAAAGGCAGCGGCAATAGGTAATAGCAGACAATTGTTCAGACTTGTTAAAGAAACCGGTATTAGGAAACCGACTGTTAGCGAAACACTCAGAGAAAGATGGACATATTATACATTCTCAATCCAGGAGATTGGATCGATGGGCAGAACACTTTAGGGATCAGTTCAACTGGCCTTCAGCCACACTTCGGTTTCCCACGATCTCCAGTCAACCTGAATGGCAAGCTAGTGTAGGTCCTCCGACTATTTACGAAGTTGAAAATGCCATAGGAAATCTGAAGTGAGGAAGAGCAGCAGGCCCTGACAGGTTTACTCCTGAGATTTTTAAGGATGGTGGTTCAGTATTAGCAGTGAGATTAACTGAGGTCTTAGGTAGAATTTAGGAACTGAACGTAATCCCATCTGACTGGTCTCAATCACCGATTGCGCCAGTCTATAAGAAGGGACAAAAGTCCTCTTGTGACAATCACAGAGGAATCAGTTTGACAAATATAGTGCTGTGTTAAGGTCACCGTTTTTGATTTTTCAAAGGAAACGAGAAAGAACAGGGTGAAAGGTAAATCAAACAAATTTCATACAAATGAAAATTTGTTCCTGAAGACTCCATGACACTTCAGCTTAAAATGCGCACGTTTCAATCTACCGAAGGGTTTCTTTATGCCACTACTCTGTAGTCTTAGTTTTAAGCGTAAAATGTTCAGACCACTACGTTGCCTAAGAAAATTCATGACTTTCAAACAACCGGTAAACTGTAGCTAGACAAAAAGGCAATTGACGATTTAAAGTCTGCCTTCCTGTAACCAATATAACAAAGTTGAAGGTGACATATCACTAACTAATCCTACTATTAAGGTAAGGTACGCGTGACGTTCTTACAGAAAGCGTCAGATAAATTATGTAACCTCCTTGATAAGCTATTATTAAAATCTTAAAGAAATGTCAGATAGATATTATCGGTGGAAACTGATTTCAAAGGGATATCCAGCATAACTTCGTATCACTAAACGACGACAAGACCCTTCATCCGACATGACGGAAAAATAGACTTCTATAACCGGAATAAGTGGTAAACATATGAAATCAAAGGCAGAAAAATGTATCGCAAAAGTCGATCTCTTGACGAACATTAACAAATCAAAAATGCGAAAAAATCAGTCATTTTGATCTTATAAACATATAATGCATAGTTTTCAAGTGAGTTACTTACTTCATTAACTCCATGTTCGTTCAATTCATGGAAGAATTTAATGAATATACTGACAAGTATCTTTTTCTTATCATTATTTGGGTTACTTATGGTGTAAACAATACTATCGAAGTCCGCAACGGTGTAATCAATCTTATCATATCTGGATCTAAACGTGTAAAAGCTTTAAGTTAACTTTGATTTTACTCCTCCTTTGCTTGTTCAAATCTGGTGACTAGAATTTCTTCTACAGCTCGGTTACAAACTTCCAAAATGATCATCGGTAGCAATTGCTATAAAAATCCCGCTGAGTTTTTACGTAAAATAATTTAAATAGTTCCAATTGTACTTGGGTGGAACAAAAAATAGACTGTTGTTTTTTCCGTACTGATACATATCTCAAACCAATTTTGCTCCCTGAATATCTAATAATTTTATATGAACTAGTAAAGTAATGAGTATATTTGTCTTCTAGCTTATATGCTTCAAATGTTGTGTCTCAGAGCTAATTTTTCTATATATGATTCAAGTTCAGAAGAAGAGATATCCAAATCCTTTCGACAATTCCTCAAGAGAATAAATCGTCAGACTAATGAGATAGTAACTTATCCGAGAAACCTAGAATGAGAACTATGTACTACCAGTCCTCAGAATGCGTTAATTCGTGTTCAGAATAAGCTGAAAATATCCCTCTCTAGCCTCCATACAACTTCAAGATCTTCTGCTGTGAGTGTGACAGAGGTGCGGATTTCATGACTTTTTTATTATCTCATTTCTTGGCGTAAGTATGAGGCGAAAGTAGAAACGTTTCACTTATTTCACATTCGTCGACATTTTTGAGCCCAGCCTGAAGGTAAGTTCCCCACTTTACAGTCCGTTATCATCAAATAAGTCCCATACCAGTTTGCACTAACATCTTCGTGTTACGTCTTCGGACGATATACTCAAGCGACACTTCAAACTGGAACTTAGAAGCTATCCGTTAGAAAAGGCAAGGAAGAATACAGTCTGAGACGTCTCAATCAGATCCCAATAGGAACCGTAGTATCGGTTATTATGTTAGACCCACATACCTTATTCTGGCTTTCGGACAGGCCAATCTACTCATTCTACTTGAGTCATATTGTGATCCTGTTCATTATTCGCTTTTCAATCTTGAATGTTTTTATATAAACGTATGGGTGTGCACTTATCCCATTCACCACATATCTTGAACCTATTTTTGTGCAACTACATACATTGATTGACGCTTCGTTTAATGAGAGTTGGCAACCCGCCATCTCCACTGCGCGTCGTTTCGCTTCGCTCTACTCCATCTGCTTCACATATAATATATATATATTCCAAATTCCATTCTCGTTATTTGACTTATTTGACTCCGTTATTACTACTACTAAATACTTACGCCTTTTGCTCCTGATGGAGCATAGGCCGTCGACCAGAATTCTCCAACCCACTCTGTCTTGGGCCTTCTTTTCTAGTTCCATCCAATTCTTGTTCATTTTTCTCATGCCTATTTCCATTTCTCGGCATAATGTGTTCTTTCATCTTCCTCTCCTCCTTTGGCCTTGAGGATTCCATGTGAGGGCTTGCCTTGTGATGAAGTTCCGTGCTTTCCTCAATGTGTGTCCTATCCATTTCCAGCACTTCTTCCTGGTTTCTTCCTCCGCTGGGATCTGGCTTGTTCTCTCCCACAATAGGTTGTTGCTAATAGTGTCCGGACAACGTATCCTAAGTATTTTGCGTAGACAACTGTAAATAAATACTTGTATCCTCTGGATGATGGCTTTCGTAGTTCTCCAGGTTCCCGCCCCATACAGTAGAACTGTCTTGACATTTGTATTGAAAATCCTGACCTTGGTGTTGGTTAACAGACAGTTGTTTTGAGTCGCAGATGTTCTTCAGTTGTAAATATGTTGCTCTCGCTCTGTCGATTGAATTATGTCCTCTTATATTTTAAGGACACCTAGACCAAACACTCTGACTGACGCTAATACTCATCGGACTCTCCGTAACTGTTCTAGGCCTAAACTCCACTTTGCTCGTATCCATGATGAATTTTCATGAACTGCTTTTAAAGGTTACGGAACTTGTTGGTTAGAATATCGTGAAAGGTGACTAAGTTTCTCGAATGAACATCAGGTTTTTAACTGCGGTTTCCTTTCATTGACTTAATACGGTGATATCTCACACAGACTTTTCTAAACGAGTTCGATAAATTGTCCTGTTGTGAAACGTAAGTATTGGAATTAACAACCGAAATCAAAACACACTCATTTGATTCCTGAGATTGTGTACAATCACCATGTCGTTTGAGTACTGAAACTACTGCTACCTAGAATTTAAACCATAGATTTTCAGACTATCCTCCCTCACGAAATAATGTTGGATCTTCTTATTCCCAAGTGATGAATGATGTAGCTTCTTTTAAAGCACATTTCACACACTGACTAGAGTATACATTAGAAGTGACTATGAAAAAGATAAACAACAGTTGATATGAAATAATCCGAATTGTAATCAAACCAGAGCTCATTTAGTACTTGTGCTTCGCATTGAACAAGTTTCCCACGAGAAACAAATGCATTATGAGGACATATAGTATTTGATATGACATCAAGATTTGACTCTTATGAAATAGTTTCCTCGAGTTTATTAAGAATGCCATTGCAGAGTAATGGATCATTAAAAATATAAGCATCTGTCAAAACTACATCACGTTTTCGATCAAAATTATGTTCACTCAACATACTTTCTTCAGATTCGCAAGCAATTTCATCAGAAATATGTGAATCATTAGGAAAAGCCATATCTGGTACAATAACATGAAAAATCTGATAAGTTGATTGATTAGAATCTGTTGTCTCGCAAGAATTCTGAGTTTCATTTAACTCTGAACTGTTATATGACTCTACACTGTCTTTTGAAATCGTTGATGAAAACAAATGATCATTATAAATACTTCACTTAATAGAATCAGAACTACAAGACTTAATATTCGTTGCAGCAAGATGAACAGTAGTATTACAAGCTGACAGAATATGTCCAATATCACCGCATCTAAAGCGCTTAGAATTACGAAATTTTCAGAAATTAAAAGAGTGGAACCTGCCACAGGACAAACATTCATCAAACTTGTGCCCATCTTCGTGAACTACATCTCAACTCCTCAATAAATTATCTGCATAACATTGAGTATGCACTGGGTTGGGATGACGTAATGCAATGGAATTTTTTATATCCTCATGCATCATCTTACGAAATTTTCCTCCTTTACTGCAATCAAAATTTGCATACTTAACATAATCTAGCAGTAGATCCTTGAGAGTTGTATAAGAAAGCGAGATGGGCTTCTCCGGTAAAGCCAGTTTTTAATAAGCTATATGCTTCTTTTACGATGAATGTGAGGAAATGTGTTACACTATTAACATCCTCATCATCTTCCTTGGTCATAGCCCGAATTTTGAACCTTTCTAGGTAATCCTCAAAAGCATCAAGATCTGAATGTATATCCAACAATTCCATCACATGCTCAATCGCGACGCTAATATGATGATTAGGAGTATTTGAATTATAGTATGAACTAAGAATCCCAGAAATAACGTATTCGGATCAAGAAGTACTAGATAAGCACAGACGAATGTATTGTATTTAGAATTCGAAATCAAGCATTCAACAAGTACAAAGGAATCATTAGTTCATTCAAACACCACATTCCAATTTCCAATGCAGTGTGTTCTTTGGCCTTTCACTTTTTCGTTTTCATTCAGGATTCAAAATTAGCACTTGCCTCGTGATACAGTTTGATGATTCCAGCAACGTATGTCCTATACACTTCCAACATCTTTCCCTAATTTCATCTTGAGATGGAAGCTGGTTCATTCTCTGTTGCTGATGACACTTGGGCAAGGGACATTAAGTATCTTGCGTGGAAGATTATTTATATACACTCGTACATTTTTGATGACGGCTGTAGTAATTCCCCAAGTTTCAGCTCAGTGCAATCAAACGGTTTTGACGTTTGTATTGGAGATTCTGACTTTGGTGTTGGCTGACAGTTGGTTTGAACTTCAGATGTCTTTATATTGTAGGAATGCGGCCCTTGTTCTGCCTGTCCTTGAATTCACATATCCATGAGATCCTCCTTTTTCATCGATGGTGCATCACAGTTATGTGAAAGATTCCACCTCTCCCAGAGCTTCTTCATAAAGTGTGGTTGTGTTGGTGTTCTCCATGTTTTATTTAAGTGTTATATCCCGATAAGAATAATGAATGGTAGTTTTTGGGATCACTTTATGGACCAATACTATGAGTATATTTTTATCGTGTAATTGTCACATAACTAAACTGTTCAAATTCATGTCACTCTTATTATAACATTTAATTTGACCCATAGACTGTTATTATACGATTTACCATTCTAGAGTTATGGCCTGTCTATTAATTACTATCTCCCTGATTCACAGCCACATTTGGTTAAATGTTGTACAAATGTTGTTTCATATTTTGTGGTACGTTGTGGTCTGTTTGATTGGTAATAGGAATGCAGTCTGATTGAAATAAATAATCCATATTTCAGATGCTGAGATTGGTGTTCTGGACTTAACTGGTTGGGCTAGACAGGGAGCGAGACCAACCAGGACTCTAGGCACGTGTTTTATGCGTCACTGGTTCTATCGATAATTTCGCCGCTCTCTCATTGGTGGTATCGTTGCGTTATCCAATAAACAGAGCGCACAGGTTCACAAGTTATAACATTAAGGATTATGCTTTTCCCCATGTGTATGTTGAGGCCTACCTTATGGAACTTAGGAATTTCTATATTATCCCGAAGTACTTTTATGCTCGATGAAAAGTCATTTAACCTAACCAAGTCAATCAAATGTAAAGGCTAGGACTTTGATTAAATTATGCATATATTTGTAAAAGAATATATGTAAGATGATAAATTTTAATCAATGATATATTTGTGAACTCTGATATAAGCTATGAAATTAAATACGTACTTGGAAGCAAATGTAGTAAATGAAAAACCTATGCTCATCACTCCAGTTTAATTAGACAGTAAATGTATAAATAACCTGAGAATACTGCATTCAAAATATGTCACTTTAAAAAGACATTCAATAATAAGTTACTATTAATAGACAAATAATTGTTTCAATAGTTGAGATCATGAGTCAGTTGAAGCTAAACCACCATGGAAAACCTGGAAGCACTGGACAGCCGTTTCGTCCTATTGTGAGACTCAGGATCTCAACTATTGAAATTACTACAATCT